TAATGTAGAAACATGATTTTGTGTAACTATTGCATGCCAATTGAGAGAGAATACATGTTAATGTCATAATTAACTGTTGACTAATTATGAGACTAATAGAATTGATAATTGAGTATAATGAAATGATTAACTTGTATAATAAAATTAAAATTTAGATATTTAAATGCCACAAAAAATATTTTAAGAATTTATCAACTACCTCTAACATTTTTTAGAACTAAATTAAATATTTACTCCTAATTAATTAAGAATAATTTATAAGAACTAAACGAGATTTATAATTGTTGGCACGCAGTTAACTAACTTAGAACTCTAGTATGAGTTAGAACTCCTTATTATTAAAATTTGTATGAAAATCAATTAAGATTATATGCACTGCAACAAAATTGTCAAAAAGCAATAACTAGAAGTCATTATAATGTTAAAAAGCCAAAGCTGATAAATACTTTAGTATCCATGGAATAATAGCTTCGTGATTGTTGCTCATTTTTAAAAATATTTCTAATTAACCTATTTAAAAAATTATTTTACATTAATAATGTTTAATAAATTAATAAATTTAATTTTAAATAAGTTAATTTATTTTTAGTGTATCTTTTTGATTTGTGTGATAAAAAATTGCTTATTCTATTATTAATATTTAGAATTTAAAATAAAAATAAAAAAGAGAGACAATTCATGAAATATTTCTTATATCCCATTTGAAATATTCTAATTAATCAACTATGAAGATGAATGAAAAGAGCAAGCAAAGATGCCTCCCAAAGTTTTTATTTTCAATTTCTTGATTTTGTTTGAACAAAGAATTATAACATTTAAGTGTAATGGAAATGTAAAAATATTGATAATTTAATTTTTTTGTATTACAAATTTATTTATTTACTTGTATTGTTAATAATGTAAACTATATTTCTAACTCCCTTCCCTAAATCCCAATGGAAGTTTGTAGTCCTACCATAATCGAAAGTGATTATTTTTACATCGATTAATTTAATAACCGATGTAAAGTGCCTTTTTACATCAGTTCAAGAACTAATTTAGAAATGACTAATTTTCTACATTAATTCAAGAACTAATGTAGAAGACTCAAATTAATTGATGTATAAGAACCTCATTACACTGATAGAAGTATATTAGAAGACTCAAATAACCAACTAATGTACTCTCAATCAAAGTACATTTTTACATTAGTTCAAAATTGATGTAAAAATGACAAACTTTTTATATCAATTCAAGTACTGACATAAAAGACTCAAATTAATCGATATGGAAGGATCATGTCGCACTAGTGGGAGCATATTAGTTGAGGTTCAAGGTGTAGTGTGACACATCAAAGATGGTTGGAGCATGATGAAACAAAAGATTGTATTAATTAATGGTATATTTGTTAGAATGGTTATCTTATTTGTGGGTTAAATTGAGAGTTCCTTTAGGATTAATTATTTCTTTTTTCCTTTAGGGGATATTTGGTACGCAAAATATTTTTTTTCCTAAGAACGTTAAATCAGGAATTTTGATTTTCCATATTTGGTAGCTATTTAAAAAAAATTCCCAAGAATATAATTTTTCGGAAACCATTTTTATTCTACTTTCTCACAAAATCATTTTCATGAAGAGGTAGAAATCTAACTTTCTCAAGTTAAGAAAAAAAAATTATGTATTTTTTAAAACATAAAATCTCTCTCTCTCTCCTCTTCTATTTTTATTTCTCCTTCTCCTTTTTTTCTCTTTCTATCTCTCTCTCTCCCTCTAACTCCCCCTCTCTTCCTCTCCATCTCTCCCTCTCTCTCATTCTATTTATCTTTCTCCCTTTCTATCTATCTCTCTTAGTGTCACTCCCCCTCTCTTCCTCTCTCCCTCTCCCTCACATATCTCTACTTCTCTTTCTTTCTTGTATCTCAATATTTCTTGAACTTATCAATTTTCATAATATTATTAAAGTCTATTTCATTTATATAGTTTAATGGTATTTGTTAACACTTATTTATTTATTTTTATTTGAATGCAATAAAATAATATATTTTTATCTTTCATATTTATTATATAACACTTTCTTTGTTTATTTCTTTTGTTAAATTTTGTATTTAAATAATTTTAACTACAACTTTTCAACTTTTTTAAATAGTTTAATATCATATTTATAATAAGATTTAGGTAAATAAGTACATCTAATAAGATTATTCTAATAAAGAATATTTTTATAAAAAATTATTATATACTCAAGAATATATTATATATTATAACCAAATATAAAAAAATTTAATTTTTGAGAATGTTAAGTTTGTGAATAACCAAACAAATTTTAATTATTCCCATAATTTATAATTCCCAATAATCATATGATTCTTAGGTATGAAAAAAGAATTTCCTTACCAAAGACTCCCTTATTGTATTAGTATTCAAATTTAAAATTCATATATATATATTCAAGTAAACATACGTACTAAGGCTTTATTTCTCAAAGTGTTGTGATAGAAATTTTCAACTCTAAAACAGGTATTCTCTTTTATTTTGGTTGAAAAATGTTTCTTTATAAACTTAGGAAATGGCACATTGTAATGATTTGTTGTTGTTACTTTTGTGTTTGACTTTTTTGTATAAATTAATGTTGCTTATCTGTCATGGAAATATCTACAATTAACTATTTAGTAGCATCATTAAAAAGGAAGAAAATTTAAGCCTTTTCATTTTCTTTAGTAATACAGCATTTAATAATTTAGAGAAAGTGTGATAAATGAATAAAGCTAATTAATTAATTGTAATTTTTTATATCAGTTTTTGATATTTTTTTTATATCAGTAACAGGAATTTCAGTTGATATATGTTTATATAAATCATATCAATACATTTATATTGAATGGGAAAATAATTCGATTCATTTTCTAATCGTTATTTCACAAGACATTAGTAGAAAAATAAAAATATCCTCACCAAATATATATATATATATATATATATATATATATAT